AGGGAAGAGGTGAAAGGGCAGGTTTCTGTCGGCAAGCTGTAGCTTAGGTGGCGGTTCCCTTCTGGACTCCTTCGTATTGTTAGGAAGACACAAGCCTCTTGATCACTGAGCAAAGGCCCTCTAAGTCCTCCCTTTACTTTGGTGCTTTGGAAGTTCTCCCAGACCAGCTCCAGATCTGCTCCCAGGCATGTTCTGTGTGGAGCAGACTTATCCATTGTTTCTGTTCCCAAGCGTCTCCGTAGCAGCCTCTACTTTCCTTGGCATAAGCCGTGTATCTGTAATGCTGCTGGAACTGAGTAACCAACCTTTGGATCATTTATTGTGACAACTTTTTCCACAGTAAAGGGAGGTTAAAAACCAAGGTTTAATTTGAAAACCTTTTTTTTTTCTGGTGGGACAATAAAGAGGTGAAAGAGGCTATGCGGATCTATTGCTGCTTTAGGTTGACATTTTCAATTCAGCACAAAAGTGCTCAGAAGACAGGCTCAAATCGGGATTACTCCCTGTAGGGATTTTTAGACAATCTTACTGACAAAATGATTTCCCAAAGATGAACCCCTTCACCCTACCATGCAGAGAGGGGTGTCTTAGGGCCCAGCACTGGAATTGAAGCATCTGACTTTTTACCCCCCAAGGAGTTATAAATACTTAAGATTTCGATCTATTTATTTATTTATTTATTTTTCTTTGAGACAGAGTCTCACTTTGTTGCCCAGGCTAGAGTGAGTGTCATGGCGTCAGCCTAGCTCACAGCAACCTCAAACTCCTGGGCTCCAGCGATCCTCCTGCCTCAGCCTCCCGAGTAGCTGGGACTACAGGCATGTGCCACCATGCCCAGCTAATTTTTTTTTCTATATATATTAGTTGGCCAATTAATTTCTATTTATAATAGAGACAGGGTCTCGCTCTTGCTCAGGCTGGTTTTGAACTCCTGACCTTGAGCAATCCGCCCACCTCGGCCTCCCAGAGAGCTAGGATTACAGGCGTGAGCCACCGCGCCCGGCCAAGATTTCGATCTAAATGCCAGGCTGGAACCTCAAGCCCGAGATATTTTATCGTACTATTGAGATGTTCTCTGAAAGGTAGACCCATAGACAACAGGCGCTTTAGTAGATAATTATTCCAGACCAGAATTTCTGTCCTCTGATTGATGAACAGAATCCCCATGTGGCCTGCCAGGGTGAGTGGGAGGATGAGCAGCACACCACAGTGATCATGGACCTGGCAAAGTGACGATGCTGCTGGAAGCCTGCATCTAGGCTTTTAAGTGGCTTTTCTGTGGTTTCCTAGTAAGAAGTTAAATAAGTTTTGGGGTTAAGAACTGGGAACATAAACCAAAGAAATCCTAAATAACTAAACAACTGACTCCTGGAAGAACAGAAGCAATGACTCTCTACCTTCTACATAAAAGTCTTTCTTCTCCAAAGAGTCCCTCGTGGCTGCTGAACTCTGAATTAACAAGCCCTGCCTTTAAGCTCCCCTATGTGGACAGTCTCATTTTCTGAGACAAGCTTGGGCTCACCAAATTATCACTGTAAACAAAGTTCCAAGGGAGAGACACGCCTCTTTCACTTCAAAAGCTTCACGTTGCAGACAGCCAAAGTCATGACTGGCAGGCTCAGCTCAAGGAGTGTGCCTAACTCAACACAAAATGGGGTTCTCTCTTTATTAATTTTGAAGGGGACTAGGAGCAAAACTATTGAATCTGAAGGTGAGAGGTAATATTTTCTCAGATGTTCCAATTAGGCTTCTCACATCCCTAAGAGGTCATCAGCTAAAGACAAGAATTTCTACGGCTAACGCAAAACATGGTCAAAATGTGAAGCTGCCCTTTTAGAGGCAGGAGTGAAAGGCTGCTGGCCTCCAGAGGAGAATATGCCTGAAATCTCTGGGCTCCCAGGACCTATGGTGACCTTAAGTCAACCTGATGCACAGACAGTAGTGTCCTTTATGAATTGTAGTCAATGCTCTCCAGTTTATAATTTTTTTTACCTTAAAAATTTTACTCTTAAAATCTCACTGCTGCTTTAGGGCGCATTTACAGTGACATGGGAAACAGAGCTCTCCCGAACAGTGAGATATCATTGCACACCCGAGCACAGAGGGCTCTCTAGTGTACGCCCCTGCCCACTCCATGCAAGCTGGGTGCCCTGATGGAGGCAAAGCTAACATGGACAACTCCATAGCCTGGAAGCTTCCCAGAGCCTCAAGGAAATAGGCTCCGTCCAACATGACTCAGAATAAATGACTGCCACCTCAACTGGGCAGTATGAATTGCAAAGCCTTAGGTCTGACCTCTTGTAGAATCTTCCTATAATCCCAACACTGGGAGGCTGAGGTGGGAGGATTGCTTGAGGTCAGAAGATCAAAACCAGCTTGAGCAACATAGCGAGACCCCGTCTCTATAAAAATAAAAAAATTAGCCAGGCATGGTGCCACCTGTAGTTCCAGCTACTCAGGAGACTGAAGCAGGAGGTCACTTGAGCCCAGGAGTTTGAGGCTGCTGTGAGCTATGATCATACCACTGCATTCTAGCCTGAATGATAAAGGGAGATCCCATCTCTTAAAAAAAAAAAATATAAAAGAGTTACAAGGGCCATTTGCATTATTTCATCACCATTAAATAATCTCTGCCCCATAGCTGCTTGAGTTAACTGTCCTCTATGTGTCATATTTTTTGTAAAGATATGGATTATCTTCTGAAATGTAGATGGGACCATGACGAAGCTATATTATCAATTACAGCCAACTCTCATTTCTCTTAAAGCAAAAATGAATCCCACTATGGAGATTTCTCCAGAAATACTAAAACCACACAGTTATGGCAAAAATCACATGTGGCTATTAAATCCTTTTTGTGAACTAAAAATGTGAATGTGGCTTGGGCTAAGTCCTGTTTTTTTTCTTTTTTTAAAGATGAGAATGGTAACTCCAACAAAAGTATTAACACAGTATTAGATGGAAATGAGTAATATGTGAAGTACAATACGTGAAACATGTACTACGTCTAACAAAAGACCTATTACATCTCTGGTTAAAGAGGTTTAGCAGAAGCCTCCAATGAGCACTATATGTGGAGAAGAGAAAGGGAAAGAGGGAAAAACAGTTCTGCATGGAACTTTTTCTTCTTTTAAAAACCACAATGGCTGACTTTTTTCCTCTAAGCAAGCCTAAGAGGTTTTACAGGGCTGACTCCTAACATCAAAATAAAATATTTCTTTGCCATGAAGAAATATGACTATGTAGCAACATGAACAAAATTACAAAACAGTCCCAGAGGGCAGTGACCTACTCTGCTCTCTAGAGGCTCCAGAAGCAAGGCCTCAAGTGCCTTCCTGTGCCATGGGACACGGCACAGCACAGACAGTGGAAATCCTGCAGCAATGTCACCATCTAGGCCTTCCTCGGCCTCAGAGGGGTGATACTCTCTCCCTCTTCGATCCTCCCACCTGGCTCAACCTAGTCTCAGCAGTGAGGGAGCCCCCTCCACGCAGGGGAGATGGGTGGTGGACACTTGTAAAAACAAAACAGTCAATTCATTAACTGTTCCATCCTGTTATGTTTGTTATAAGAAAAACCAAGACTCCTGTTTCATGGGCTGCACTCTTTCTAGAAGGCTACAGAAAATCTAACATGGTTGACTCCTGGTAGCCCGCCCCCCCCCCCCCCCACTTCTCTCTTCGCGCTTCTCTCTCTCTCTCTCTCTCTCTCACACACACACACACACACACACACACACACACACACACACACCCGATTAAGTCCTAGTCCAAATAGACTGCTTGACCTCACTGGTGTTTCCCCAATGGCTACAATTTATAAACTAAAAATAAATTTTAATTAAAAAAATCCATTGCTATCTTTTTCTATCCTGAGTATGGCAGACTTTGTGGGATGCTCCAGTAATAACCCAAATCTAGGACACACAAACTCACTGTGAGCTAGAGGCTACAGATCTGCCCTAAACACAGGAACCTGTTTCTATCAAGCCTGAATGAGGGCAGCACTAGTAGAATTAATGGCAAATCAGTACCAATGAAATACTCTGCAAATAAGGTAGATTTTGTGCTTTGCTTCTTTTCATTTTCTTTGGGGAAATAAAGGTTATTGCAACCATGGGTCTAACTAATCTATCACAAAAGGACTGTGACTTCACATCAGTAAAGACAGCCATGATGTCTGTGGTGTCAGAGAGGGAAAAACACCAATCCCTGCTCACCAGGATCTGAGTGCAATAGAAAATAGCACGGTTTCAACAATTCCGGTGTGGGACAAAGCCTCTTTTTGTCAGTTAAGAAAGCATCAGCCAATCTCTCCAGTTAACTGCATTAATAGGATCCATTCATGTCACTGAAAAATACTTCTTGGCACAGTTTACTTTCCTGACCCAAAGACGCCAACAACAATCAAAACTGCACTTTTTGGGGTATTTGGGGTATATTGTTATGCTAGACCAGTCAAAACATCCTCAGATCATTACAAAACGTACAAATTACTATTAACGCTGTAGTTCCTTTTTTAAGAGTACTGTTTTCCTACAGAGCATTTTCAATCCATACCATAAAGTGGAATCTATCTAGAAGAATGTGTTTTTTGAATTCTACTTAGTGCTTAGTTAAATCTGTTTTATTTTCCCCTTTATTTGAACAGAACCATAGAATGCTCTAAGTCAGGCAATAAGAAACCGTGTGTTCGTTTTTAAGTAGGATATTTAACAGCCAGTTGGTGTTCAGACTCAAGTCCCATATTTCTATCCACTGGGACCCTTACTTAGGGATATAATTCCTCCCCCAGAGGTATGATGGTATCCCAAGAATACAACTGCTTTCTGGCTCTATGTTTCAAGACTAGGAGAGGATGCAAACTAAGAGTAGATAGCAAAACTTAAAGTTCACCCACTAATGTTCCCCAAATGCTGAACACTAAATGATACAGCGCTATCAGATACACATATTTCTTTTAGTGGGAGGGAGGAGCAAAAACTTATTAAAGTTTCAGTATTTATTAGGATTTTTAAATAAGGAGAACTACAATTTTAACTTTACATCTTGGCTATGTTTTGACAAAAGAGATGCCACTAAAAGTATAGTGACATATCTCCTGTCCTACGCCAGGATCAATCAGTGTTCCCCTCTCCAATCCTACCCCGATCTCAAGACCCTTTTGCTTCCTAACTAAACAATACAACTGGCAAATAAAGCCAGCATGAAACCTGTATCAAAAACTAGCAAGAGAGTCCGCAGTGAGCCAATGCATTGTGGCCACTCTAGTAAATGATTACGTGGCTTCCCATAGCACTTTTCAGAAGATGGCCCTTTCATATCCTGGTGGAAGACCAGTTTAATATTCTGAGCATGCTCCATGGTGCAATCACAAGTGCTGCAACATTACAAAGACAAGCAAACACCTGACTTTCCCCCTTTGTACTTATCAGGAACTTAACGTGGTTACCCAATGTGGGGACAGGCCTGTGTAGCTGCACTTGCAAAGTACAGTTGGATGCTTAAGAGCATGAGGACAATATTCAGTTCAGCACGGTGTAAGGCATATATGGACAAGAAGAGAGGTCGTTGTCAGCAATAAGTAGCATTATGGAAAAGATTCTAAACCAGCAGGATAGAAATGGTGCTTGATACTCCAGTTTTTTAGATAGTAATCTCAAGAATCAAGTTCAAACCTAGTGCCAACACGTAGGGCAGAATTCAATCTCTAGCATTGTTTCTCCAGATCTGGACTTAGGCCATTTGCTCCTGGCTTAGTAATAAAAAAGAAAATAGGTTTCTTCGTGTTTCTTTCTTGGCATGGAAACACAGCTTAGAGAAAAGAAGGCCACGAGTCCTGGGAGCACTATGAAGGTAGGTGGACTCTTCTTAAACCCTACGTAACTATAGTCAATGACTGGGGACTAGAGAGAGGACAGGAAAACTTGCCTAGCCACTAGTATTAACAACAAAAAAGTAAGTTGTGAGGCTCTCCATTCCAGAAACACTCAAATTAAAAAAAAAAAAAACTTGAAAAAATAAAGAGTTAAATTCCTCTTTCTAAAAGTCATTTATTTACATATTATATGTCCAATATATAATGTGTAGATAAATGTATCCTGCAGTGAAAAAGACCAACCTACTAAATTAAACAGTACATCGTAGGACAAATTCTTGAATAGTTTCATCTCACATTGGAATCTTTTAATAAAAAAAAAAATTAAAAATAAAAGAAAAATGTCTAGCCAGGGCTGGGATGAGACAAACAGGAACACTTCAGAATCCGGGGCAGGGGGAAGACTGTTTGTCTATCTTCAGAGGACTGCAGGGGTGCGAAAAGGAGGGACAGATCATGCACAAAAGCACTTACAAATTACATACCCAGCCCCCACCCCCCTTGGTAGAAAGAGAAGAAAACCCTCATCACTTAACACCAAACAGCAACATTATCAATACACCCTTTCTCTGCTGCCCATCATGCCTTATGTCAAAGAAGAGGCCTGTGAGGAGAAGTGAAAGAGCCAGGGTGGGAGGGAGGTCTGCACTTCAGTCTCGTTTCCAATTTCTATTTCTTACAGGAAGTCTTCAGTCATCTGATGCCTGACATGGAGCTATGAGCAGAAACCGAGTATGTGGTGGCCACAACCGGGGTGCCATTGTTGGCTGAGTAGCCTTGCCTCAACGTTTCAAAATATGACGCCTGCACGGGTTTGTGACACTGCAACACTTTTATGGCATCTTCTATTGTAAACCACTCCCTCTTCCTTCCTGTGGAGGCAGAGAGAAAAAGAAGTTAGTATAAGAGGGAAGCAATGAGGTTTATGAGCCTAGAACTTTTGAGAAAACATTGAAGAAAACATTAAAGTAATGCTCCTCAATACTTTTTAAATATGTATTAAATTCGTTACTTATATTTTTCTTACAAAAGCGATGCAAGCACATTTTATATGCTTCAAATATGATAAAAATGCCTAATGAAGAAAATAGGTGGGAAATCTGGACACTGAGGAGCTACGAGTAACTGTGCAGAACTGCTCTCCGGAGAGAGCCACTGCTAGTGGTTTCCTCCTGCCCTCCAGGGCCTGGGCTTTCCCCGCTGCACCCCAGGGCCCGAAGCCCAGCAGCATCCACACCGCATGGAAAATTAACACAAACACCAGCGGCCAGAATTACTAGAATGGCTGGCTTATAATCAGTTATTTATTTTTAAAATTTTTTATAGGAGCACTTGATCTACATAATATATTTTAAAAAGAAAAAATTATCTCAATATAATCACTCTTAACTTTTTAGTCTATTTTTTTTTACTATTTTCAAGTGTATGTTTTTAAATCCTTTATTATTTTTTTCTCTTATAAAAGTAATAAAATATTGTTTAAAATTGGAGAAACAGAAAAATATAAAGAATACAATTAGGTACCTTTCTTTTTTTAAAGAGACAGGGTCTCATTTTGTTGCCCAGGGTGGAGTACAGTGGTACAATCATAGCTTACTGTAGCCTCAAACTCCTGGGTTCAAGCCATCCTCCCACCTATCCTCCCAAGTAGCTGGGACTACAGGTGCGTGCCACCACAACAGGCTAATGTTTCTATTTTATTTTAGAGATAGGGTGTCAATAAGTTGCCAAGGCTGATCTTGAACTCCTCTCAAACAATCCTCCTACCTCAGCCTCTGGGCCTGGGATTATAGGCCCAGAACTACTATGCCTGGCCCCATAATCTTAAAAGCCAGAAATGACCACTCTCAATACCTTAGTGCAATTGTTTTTTTCCCCATCCATACTTGGAAAATAAATCGTATTTAAACAACTATAATCAGACCATGCTTTCAGGTGCTCTGAACCCTGACAGGCCCCACTAGAGGGCCGTGGGAGGGAGGCACTGGAACTCTGGGGCCAGCGTGCTGGGCACCGATCCTATCACGGGCTCCCTGAGCTGTGCAACCCTGGGCGAGTCACTGAGCCTCCCTGTGCCCTGTTCTCCGCATCTATAAAGTAGAAGTGACATGTAGGACCTATCTCACAAGTTTATTCTGAGAATTAACATATAAAGCACCTGAAGAGACTCTGGAACATAGTATGAATCGCTTTTTTATTGATTCTTATTTACTTCACACTGTTTCTTTCTCTCTTTCTTTCTTTTCTTCTTTTTTTTTTTTTTGAGACAGTCTTTGTTGCCCAGGCTAGAGTAAGTGCCTTGGCGTCAGCCTAGCTCACAGCAACCTCAAACTCCTGGGCTCAAGCGATCCTCCTGCCTCAGCCTCCCAAGTAGCTGGGACTACAGGCATGCGCCACCATGCCTGGCTAGTTTTTTTCTATATATAATAGTTGGCCAATTAATTTCTTTCTATTTATAGTAGAGATGGGGGTCTCACTCTTGCTCAGGCTGGTTTCGAACTCCTGACCTTGAGCGATCTGCCCACCTCAGCCTCCCAGAGTGCTAGGATTATAGGCGTGAGCCACCACGCCCAGCACACACTGTTTCTTAAGCAATTTTGTATGTTATAAAAAGTATTACATTTAAGTAGACTGGTTACCAGAGGCCGAGAAGGAGAGGGAGGAGGGAGAGAATAAAGGAGAACAAAAAGAATATAATGTATTTATTATACTGAATGGTACACTAAAAAATGGTAAAGATGGTAAACTATATATACATGCATATTTTACCTCAATAAAAAATAAATTAAAAATATGACAACTAATGCCTGCATTTTGTCATAACATCTAGCATGAATTTACTGTCGTTCATTTAACCATTTCCCTATCACTGGATATCAACAGCCTGCAATTTTAATTATTATAAATAATGCTATGATTTAAAAAAAATCTTTATCTCTGTTTTTTTTTTCTTTTTCTTTTTTTAACCCCCGAGGGAAAGATCCCTAGCACGGGACTATAAGAATAAAGCATTTGAACTTTCAAGGGCTCTTGATTTATATACTACTAAACTGCTTTCCAGAAGGGCTACTCCAATACTGATCCCCAATCTTGCCTATGTGTGTCAGAATGTTAGTCTTGCCACACCCCACCAGCATTACCTTTTTGTTTTTTTTACTTAAGAGACAGGGTCTCCCTCTGTTGCCCAAGCTGGAGTGGTGGGATCATAGCTCACTGCAGTCTCAAATACTTGGGCTGAGGTGATCTTCCTGTCTCGGGACTACAGGCATGTACCACCACACCTGGCTAATTTTTTATTTTTATTGTTTTGTACACATGCGGTCTTACTATGTTGCCTAGGCTGGTCTCGAACTCCTGGCCAAAAGCCATTCTCCCACCTTGGCCTCCCAAGATGCTGGGATTACAGGTGTGAGCCCCTGTGCCTGGCTCACGCTCTTTTCTTTATGACTGCCAATTCTTTAGGTGAAAATCAGTACCTCATTTTGGTTTCCATTTCAATTTCCTATTTTAATGTATATCTATATTGATATATATACATATATACATAATAATCAGGGTGTATATGTATATATGTAACTATACCCTGCTTTTTTCATTCACCAGCACTATTTCATAAGCATTTCCCCATAATATACAGCTTTTGTAACTGTGGTGTTTAACAGCTATATAACACTCCATTGGTTGAACGTATCTTCACTCACTTGTCATTCATTGTGTTGTACATTTCAGATGCAATTTTTCATTAGTAAGATAATGCTAGGAAGAGCATCTAAAGGAAGGCTCATAGGCTATTGCTCATATTTTAGATTATTTCATTAGAAGTAAGAGCACAAGGTAATAACCTTGTTTGGATATTAACAGAACAATGGTACCTTAAAAATCAGTATCACAAGTGTGTGACTCCCGCCTGACTGAGAGTGCTCTGAAGATAGGGCCACATCACACTCATCTCTATCTCCTTTTCAGGCCCTTCCACTGGCTGTCAAGGAGTCTGTTTTGAATAGACCCACAATGAATTTATTTACTTCAGTATATTGCATTATCACCAGACACAAAGGCATTAAGAGCCAAAGGGCCATGAACTGCCCAGATTAATAGTATGAGGGGGCATGATGACAAGGCAAACACTAACAACACAGAAAGGGGTTTTGACAAGTGAGTCTTATCCATTTGCCAATTTATAGCAGAAATTAACACACTTTTCTATCATATACTTTTCTTCAGAGGTAAATAATTAAACCATGCACCAACCACTTAAACCACCTCAGTTTTTGGTTCAAAAGATATACGTGCAATAGATCAAAGAAAATGGCTCCTTTCCTTTGGGAGAAAACTGGGTGTACAAAAAGAGCAACATAAAAAAAACTGGAAACCACCTCCACTACTTTGCATCTACTGAATGATTTTCTGGAGGGGCTCACACCACCAGATCAACACAGTTTTCTCCAACAACGGGAATGAGTGTCATGAGGAATAAGACCAGGGTCCTGCTCTCACTTTCCGTCCCCATGGCTAGCAGCAGGCCCTCAATCAAGATCTGCTTAGGAAGCAGAGAAGTGCAACCCTTTTTGGAAAGAATCTAATTTGATTTTAGAAACATTTCTTAAACTTTTTTTTTCTTTTTGTGACACGGTTTTGCTCTATGTCCAGAGCTAGAGTGCAATGGCATCATCACAGCTCATTGCAGCCTCAAACTCCTGGGCTCATGCGATGCTCCTGCCTCAGCCTCCAAGTAGCCAGGACTAAAGGTGTGCACCACCATGCCTGGCTACATTTTAAAAAAATTTATTGTAGAGACCAGGTCTCGCTATTAAACTCCTGGCCTCAAGTGATCCTTCCACCTCAGCCTCCCAAAGTGCTGGGATTACAGGCGTGAGCCACTGCATCCAGCAGAAACAATATTTCTTATTTTTATGGGCCATGTTTCTGTTTGTTGACCACGTACCTACCACCCACCTTCAGCTTCCATTTGAACATTTCAAAATACTAACTTTCTCAAGTTCAAAATATAGATGCTTTCCAAAATTATTATTAAACATGTCCTTCTATTATTTCTTTATTAGACTCCTGTTTCTGTTTCTGAGTAATGCAAGGGCTGGTTTTGGGGAGCCCTTCTGAGGCTGACAACAACTTACCAATGTTTACTGAGTCTTCCCAGTCTTCCAGAACTTCCGTGACAATTAGCACATAGACATACGTCCTGTGTTTCCTCTCCTGGTTCTGAAGAACAAAGAGAGAAAGAAGAAGAGTTTCTCCTTAGAGAGTTAGGATTACTTTTAAATGAAACATACTCTTACGCATATGTCTAGAGTGCTTAAGACATAAAGATTCCTTTTTCTTTTTATCTCCTATAAACACGGGCACATGATTTAAAACAGACCACACCTGGATTTGAGGATGTGTTCTCTGGACAGACTTTCAAAGCCAAATCTTTACATTTGTTTTTCCTCTTCCTTTCCCTAAATGCAGCTTCACAGGAATGCTGTGAGCTTGCAAGAAAAAGGCATCATGTAAACGTAATCAGCTGGACACCAGGAGAGGAGAGACTGTAGACGGGTGGGCAACAGAGGGGCCTTGTGCTCTGGTGACCCCAGCAAGGAAAATGAGCTGAGTGTCTCACCTAGCCCCCTTTTCCTACCGACCCCGCTCATCTCTATGACTCCTGATTCATCACTTCCTTCTGCCTTCTACCACGGCTTATTTCCGTGTTTTCTCCTGCTTTGCTATGGTTAATTATCTTCTATTTTTCCTCTATTTTCTCTACATTTATCTACCCTTCTTCCCAACTTCGGAGGAGAGGAAGAAAGATAGCAATAGGTAAAGCAATTCCAGTTGTTTGGAGGAGGATACTATGGGGATTTAAAATAGAAAGCATGCTAGTCTCTGCTGATGCTATTTTGTTTCGAAAACTCACTGAAACAGAGATGGCACCTTTCCTACATTAATATCTGTGGTTATTAATATGATACCATTTGTACTGAAGATTTTAATAGGCTTACCTCAAAAATTCCAACTAGTCTTCCCAATGTCCCTTTTACTCCAGCCTGAAAAATGAAAAAGAAAAATTAACACATTGACACTACTATATTGCTGGTCTCATTCTGAATCTTCTTGAGCAGATTGTAAAATATACGTAAAAAACAACAGGACACAACTTGGGCAGACTCCAGGTCTATAGAGGTTACACCAGTGTTTCCTATGTGTCACAGACTGCTAACAGCAAGGCATACTCTGGGGAGGGAGAATTCCTCTCATCTCCTTGGGTCTCTCTCCCTGCTGCAAAGCTGGCCTAACAGACTGAGATAATCAAGCCATGAAGCCATATCAAAAATATTTTGAAGTAATGATTATTTATTTATTCATTCAAAAAGTATATATTTAGTGCTTAATTTGAGCCAGAAAATAATACAGGTGCCAGAGGTATAGTGATCAATAAATAGGCTAGAATACAAAATCCTATGGGAGCAAGACTCTTGTTTGACTTGTTCTTGGCTGTCTGTATATAATATGCCAGAAGAGAGTTCAGTAGCCTGCAGGACTTCAAGAAAGCATAAATCAACAAGAACATAAACATGATAATTCTGTTAGTAATAGGTATTATGAGAGAAATGCACAGAGCAATTTGATGGATAGAGAGTGACAAGAGGAGGGGCAAATTCAGTGGGTAAGGCCAGGCACAGTGGCTCACGCCTGTAATCCTACCACTCTGAGAGGCCAAGGCAGGTGGGCTGTTTGAGCTCAAGAGTTCAAGACTAGCCTGAGCAAGAGCAAGACCACATCTCTACTAAAAGCAGAAAGAAATTATCCAAACAACTAAAAATATATATAGAAAAAATTAGCTGGGCATGGTGGCACACGCCTGGAGTCCCAGCTACTTGGGAGGCTGAGGCAGGAAGATCACTTGAGCCCAGGAATTTGTAGTTGCTGTAAGCTAGGCTGACACCACAACACTTTAGCCCAGGCAACAGAGAGTGGTGGCTCATGTCTATAAACCCAACATTTTGGGAGGCCAAGGTGGGAGGATCACTTGAGGCCAGGAGTTTGAGACTGGCCTGAGCAACATAGCAAGACACCTCATCTCTACAAAAAATTTAAAAAAATTAGCTAGGCACAGAGAATTGTGCCTGTAGTCCCAGCTACTGAGGAGGCTGAGGTAGGAGGATTGCTTGAGCCCAGGAGTTCAAGGCTGCAGTGAGTTATGATCAGTCGGGCCATAGCACTCATGCCTGGGCAAGACCTAGACCCTGTCTCAAAAATAAAACTTAAAAAAATTAAAAATTCTTAAGACATATTTAATAATGGAAATATCAGAAGCTGATTTAAAGGCCTAGATTCCTAGATGACATATTTTGAAATTAATTTTTGTTATTTATCTGTCAAGGAATTCTATTCCTTTCTCTTGCCAACATTCCTGCTTTTTCTATTTTATATCCATTCACTCATGTGGTTTTTGGTTTCCTTGAATGGAAATGTCTATCATCTCTCTTTTTTTTTTTTTTTGAGGCAGAGTCTCGCTTTGTTGCCCAAGCTAGAGTGAGTGCCATGGCATCAGCCTAGCTCACAGCAACCTCAAACTCCTGGGCTCAAGCAATCCTCCTGTCTCAGCCTCCCGTGTAGCTGGGACTACAGGCATGCACCATGACCATTTCTATATATATTAGTTGGTCAATTAATTTCTTTCTATTTATAGTAGAGACAGGGTCTCACTCTTACTCAGGCTGGTTTTGAACTCCTGACCTTGAGCAATCCACCCGCCTCGGCCTACCAGAGTGCTAGGATTACAGGCATGAGCCACCGCGCCCGGCCTACCATCTCTTAATTAAATTGCTTCTCTCCCTTTTTAGAAGTAACTGCCCTCCATAGCCGGCTAAAACTAGCTAGCTTATACTTCTTCTACTTCATGAATTAACTGATGAAGCTGCCTGAATAAGTGGGACAAGCTGCCAGGCCAGCCTGGACTGAAAAGCCAGTTCTGTATTCCAATCCTGGGCAGCCCAATCATGCTTAGGTCATCTGAGACATGTCACCTGTGCTCCTGCCACAGGCCTCCACTAACAGGCTTGGGAGGACAGCTATCAGGGGAGGCAAGGGCCTAGTGGGGAAGGAGTGAGGAAAGATTTAAGAGGCCATCATTCACTTTCTCCTCTGCAAAGCAGAGAGAGTGGTCTCTTTAGCAGCTACTATCCAAATATTTTTTCTTAAAGAAACCAGAAACTTAGAAAATAATCTTTAAACTTTTAGAATACAAATTGACTTAATATTATGACAAATATAATTTATTTAAATCTTTAAATAGTAATTTCTGCATTCAACACCAACATATATCTATGATTTCACTGCATCAGAAGCAGTTGGAAAAAATATAAAAGCATGTTTCTGTCTGAAACAGATGTAATTTTATAAAGTCTAGTGTAAATCAAATAATACTGCTATTTTGTACACCAAAATTTCAGTGGCATTTATTTTTACTTCTAATTAATCCTCAAGTTGTAGAAACTAATATATAAAAACACATTTTTTTCTTTTAGAAATAGCCCTTGCCATGTTGCCTAGGTTGGGCTCAAGTGATCCTCCTGCCTCAGCCTCCCAAGTAGCTAGACTACAGGCATGAGCCATTGTGCCTGGCTAATGATAGTTTTATTTGTCCCTTAACCTTTCTTTCAGGTTCCTCCTAATACTTAGGAGATCTACTCAGCAGAATTCTACTTAAAATGATACTACTAAGAATTGTATAGAAAAAGCAAAGTAGTACTCCTATATTTACCAGTTTTTAAAAATTGAGATTTATCAGTTTTCTTAGGAAGAGGTCCCCTCTTCAGCAAGAGGATTTCAGGTCTTTAACGTCATAGTTCTGACAGAGCAAGATTCCTCCCAGGCAATGGCCCTCTGAGACAGACTTCACTTTAACTATCTTACTTTATCACAATTCTCTTGCACCCAGAGGTCAACGTTCATCTCCTACCTCTATTTCAAATCCTGCCACAAGCAATCTGAGAGTGGGCTATTTTTACCTCTCACATGATTTCTACATGCAGGCTGGGATAGGTGTCAGGGCCACATATGACAGATATTTGGCTCACACATTTCAGGATAAGATTGGATTCTGGGTATATGTAAGTTTGGTCTAGTCAGGGTTCTAGTATGGACTTATTTTTCTCAAAATTGTATGAAAGCAATTACAATTTGAATCTATATGTCAAATGTCCCTAATGGAGAGGAGTCTTTATTTAAAAGCTCCTCTTGGACAGGAGCAGTGGCTCACACCTGTAATCTCAGCACTCTGGGAGGCCGAGGTGGGAGCATCACTTGAGGCCAGGAGTTCAAGACCAGCTAGGCAAAAGAGCAAGACTCCAGCTCTACAAAAAATTTTACAAATTAGCCAGGCATGGCAATGTGTGCTTGTATAGTACTAGCTACTAAGAAGACTGAGGTAGGAGGATCGCTTGAGCCCAAGAGTTCAAAGTTGCAGTGAGCTAAGATCACATCCTTGTATTCTAAGCCTAGGTAACAGTGAGACTCTGTCTCTTAAAAAATAAATAAATAAAAGCTCATCTTAGCTAGTAAAGAGAACTCTAAATAAAATAGCTATTGCTCTTAATTATTCAACTGAATGAAGGTGAATGCTTCCTTGAACTTCAAAGTATACATTATCATTTTTTTTCTTTCTTTTTTTTTGAGTCAGAGTCTCGCTCTGTTGCCCAGGCTAGAGTGAGTGCCCTGGCATCAGCCTAGCTCACAGCAACCTCAAACTCCTGGGCTCAAGCGATCCTACTGCCTCAGCCTCCCTAGTAGCTGGGATTACAGGCATGCACCACCATGCTCAGCTAATTTTTTCTATATATTTTTAGTTGGGGAATTCATTTTTTTCTACTTTTAGTAGAGACAGCGTCTCACTCTTGCTCAGGCTGGTTTCAAACTTCTGACCTTGAGTGACCCACTGCGCCCGGCCCAAAGTATACATTATTAATTCTAGCACTTTAGTTCTAATTAACAAAAATAATCTGAGCAATTTCCTACTTTTTAAAATGAAAAACAAACAAACAAAAAACACATACCTCTCTTTTTCCTTTGAGGTGTTCTACTGGGATTGAAGTATTTTTCTTTTTTCTTTTTCTTTTTTTTTTGAGACAGAGTCTCGCTTTGTTGCCCAGGCTAGAGTGAGTGTGGTGGTGTCAGCCTAGCTCACAGCAACCTCAAACTCCTGGGCTCAAGCAATCCTTCTGCCTCAGCCTCCCTAGTAGCTGTGCCCGGTGGGAGGCTGGGCATGGTGCTACAGGCATGTGCCACCATGCCCGGCTAATTTTTTCTATATATTTTTATTTGGCCAATTAATTTCTTTCTATTTTTAGTAGAGACGGGGTCTCGCTCTTGGTCAGGCTGGTTTTGAACTCCTGACCTCAAGCAATCCGCCCGTCTTGGCCTCCCAGAGTGCTAGGATTACAGGCGTGAGCCACCACGCCTGGCCGGGATTGAAGTATTTACCTAGAAAGGCCTGGACTGACCAAGGAGATCTCAGTGATCCTATCCTTCCCTCTGGTAGGCTCCCCGTGTGTGTACTAAAGTTCAGGCAAAGGCACTAATGTGAGTGATGGCCCTTTGAACCTGCCCCTAAAATGATCTCCTACCATAAGGAACTCTGGCTTTGTTGTTTAATTTCAATGGGCAGAGGCTGGGCAAGGTGGCTCATACCTGTAATCCTAGCACTCTGGGAGGCCGAAGTAGGAGAATCACTTGAGGTCAGGAGTTTGAGACCAGCCTGAGCAAGAGCAAGAGCAAGACCCCATCTCTACTAAAAATAGAAAAAAGTAGCCGGTCAACTAAAATTAGAAACAAAAAATTAGCCAGGCGAGGTGTCGAGCGTCTGTAGTCCCAGCTACTCGGAAGGCTGAGGAGGGAAGATTGCTTGAGCCCAGGAGTTTGAGGTTGCTGTGAGCTAGGCTGATGCCACAGCACTCTAGCCCAGGCAACAAAGTGAGACTGTCTCAAAAAAAAAAAAAAAAAAACTGCACAAAAAGAAATTGTACACTTGCTTGCTTGCCAGGTA